AGGGGCGATGGGACGAGGGGCAGCGGCCTCAAGTTGTGCCAGGGCAGGGTGAGGTTGGCCATGGGGAACAATTCCTTCCCCTTGGGGCTGTCAGGGGCTGGAAGGGGCTGCCCAGGGAAGGGGTCGAGTCCCCATCCCTAGAGGTGTTCAGAAAATGTGTAGATGTGGCACTCAGGGACATGCTTCAGTAGGCACAGTGATGTTGGGTTGATGGTTGGACTTGATGATCTGAAAGGTCTTTACCAACCAAAACGATTCTCTGATTCTGTGATTGTAAATTGTGAGTCTGGGACATACGTGCATCCCCTATTTTCTGCAGTTAACTCAAGTCTTGGCCAACCGTTACCCTGTGCTTCTCCTTATGCTTTGGTGGCGTATGGATAAGGGACCATTAGGAATTCTTGCCTGAAATAAAGGCTGTGAGATATATGGTGGAGCAGAAATGCCGTACAGCTATGACAGTGGCTCACGGAGGGGGCTGGGACATTCGCGGGAGAGCGGCGCACCTCTGCAGGGATGCCAGGAGCAAACTGCTTTCCGTGCATGCTGTTCTCTTGCCTCGTGTCTCTGCTCATTGCTTTGGCCATCGCAGGGGATCGCATTCAAGCTAAAAGCAGGCTGCCAGGTTCCACCTGTAAACACACACGCGGTCCCCGTTGCATGGAGATGAGAGGTGAATTTTGGGCTTCGGTCTTCACAAACGTTGTGCTGGTTCAGGGAGGTATGGGAGCCAGGCAGCAGTGCTCAAGGAGCAAGATCATTTGATACGTAAGGCTAGCGTTCCTTAACAAGCTTAATTTAGTGTCCTTCAGGTGAAACTGTGGAAGTACGGTCTGCAAGCCTTCAGGTTTGGGAATCGCATTTAAGAGCGGGTGGAAATGCTAAAGCAGGAGGTTCCCTTCCTGATTTGCAAGCCGAGTTTGGTAATTGGGCACCTTTATAGCTAGGGGTTTGAAGCTACAGTTAATTACACCTACGAAATTAAGGTCTCTTTAAAATCATGCACTCTACTTAACAAAGATTTTTTTTTTTTTTCCCCCCTTGTTTTGGTGGCTAATTGGCTGCATTCACCTGTGCTTCCCTGCTTTGGAGCTCACAGGAGGTCTCCACAGTTATTGGGAGGCAGGTCAAAAGCCAGATATCGAATGGTTTGTAGAGGAAAACCTCCTGTGAACTTCCCTCCTCTGGGTCCTCTGATGGTTCCAGCTGGAGGGCAGGCAGGCGTGTGCCAGACGTGGCGATGGGCTGGAGAAGGTGCCAGCCCTACTGCACGGGTCGGCTTAGGAAGCTGAGCCTGGAGGAGGACCAAGCTGAGCTCTCTGGCTGTAGGGGACATTG